AACAGTAACAGAACCTTATTCAGTAATAATAAAAAAAAACAAAACCTACGTCAAGCATATTTTTGGAATCCTCCAGATATCTTCTGCTAGCCGAAGTGTTGGATGACATGAATTTCTCCAATCCATCTTTCACTTTCATTTCTTTTGCAAGATCCTTCTAAAATCATAAACTGTCAGTTTCTTTCTATGGACAGGGTTCTTCAACCGGACGTTCTCTCTGCAACGGTACAGAGGTTTCCTCACCGCCCTTTAGACCGAGATTTTGAACGGAGTAAAACAATGAAGAGGAAAGAGAAGGAAGAGGGGAAAAGAAGGAGAAAGGAAGAAAGAAAGAAAGAAAGAAAGAAGGAAGAAAGCTCTGCGATTGAAGATATCCGGCAGCCTTTTTTATGTGCGAAATTAAAATAACAGCTGCTACCAGACACTGTTACAGGGGGGGGGCAAAAAAAAGACTTTATAAGTTACACTTTATAAATTTCTGATCGGACATTTCTACCACCATATTAAAGAGCATATTAAATACTATCATGACACTCCGCCACAGCCTTCTGGAGGAGCGCCATCGAGAGATTTTGCCACGCTACCGTTAGTGGGTGCGTGAGGGTGATCCGTTGCAGGTTCAGCTCGATGATCGTTGCATTTCTCCGCCATTGTGGACCACCCTAATGAACTCCGCCCGAACCAGGTAACTGAGGAGGTTCAGGTCAGGTTACCTGCTTAGATATTCCACCTTCGTCAGGTACTCAATGCCCTTCCGTTCTGAGTAGTCAAGAGTTTTTCCAACGCCCTTTGATTCCAGGTGGTGCCACCCAATCCTCTAGCAGTACAAGTTTTCAAGAAGGTACGGGCGACGGCATGTGGAGAGGATATTCTTCACGAGTTGCCCAATGTAACCGCCAGCGCTCACCTCCAATCCGGGGTTCACGAAGAAAATATTGGTCTTTCCATTCCAGGTACGTCCGGTCCCCACCATCAACTGGCGCCTTGGCGACTGAGGTGAAGATGATGTCCTAGACCGTAGCGACGTTGACGGAGCTGCTCGATGATGGAGGTCTCCAGATCGAGAGTACTGGTCTCCAGGTAGCTATCCATGGGTGACTCCATACTAGAAGTTTCGCAGCTGTTCGGAGGTGACATGAATTCCAAAGGCCTTTCCAGTCAGGTTGCGACTGGAGATGACCCTCTAGGCCGCCGAAAACTTTGCCCTGCTATGCGACTTCGGCGAAATTAGTCTTTTTTGCCACCCTGTGCATGGCGTAGTTTATAGCAATCATAACAGAAATCGCGTGAAGCGAAAGTGAGCGTAATATAGAGTAGTTCGCAGTGGACGGTTGGGAGGGGGGGGTGTCTGGCGAGATGAGTCTGGCGCGATGCCAAACCCGTTCACTACCAGTTGTAAAGTGAGCAAATGATATTACTGTATGTATGCATTCGTTCTCGTATTACTCGTTTTCTACCACTTTCTGTGGTATGTACACCTCAACAAGATGACTCATACTGCTTGACACGCCCAACCGTCCGCAGCGAACTAGAGTGTACTTATAAAGGCGCAAGAAAAATAAAGGCGCAAGAAAACATTCAGTTCCCACTGAGCAGATTTATATATAGAATATAGAAGCAACAAAGAGACCAAGAAAAATATAAAGATAAAAAAATCAAAAAGGACCAACACATAAGATTGACAAATAGACCAATAAGAATAAGAGAATAGAAAATAGACAATAATAGGAAAGAAAAAATCTTTCCATACCTGCAGAGCAGAAAGCCTGGAATTTTCCATGGCATGATGACCTCTTCTCTCATTAACGTCAACATCACTCGTCAAATCAAGTGGTGCACCGGTGGCTCCCAGAATGGGCTCATCACATCTCGACTCTTCGTCATCTAAAATGGAGCGACTGTGGTTCTTAAGCTCGTCGGTCTGGTTCAGTTTTAACTGAAGATATTACAAGAGGGAGAAAGTATCTACGAATTCCCCAATTCATGGTAGAGGCCGTCCCTATGAACTACACCCTAACAGCACGTCGTGAGCTCCAAGGAAATTCGGAATAGTAAAGCCCTTAAAACTTTTCGGACCCCTTTTAATTGTAAACTCATCTTTTAGAAAAGAGCGCAAAAATTTGGAAACAATGGCAAATCGCGGACAGAAAAAAAGTGATCAAGAAGGTGGGTGAGTGAGAGATTCAACCTTTCTTTACAGTTTTGTAAAAAAAAGTAACCGAAATTGTTCCCTCTCCATCCTCCTAAAAATTATTTCTTTTATCAGAAAACTGGCTGCCAAGCAAGGAATATATAAGAGAAAAAACAAATATCAATTACTACTAGCTAAGCGTTTAGTATCAACGAGACGGGCTTCGAAACCGAATGTTTTTCGAGTCGATTATCGACCTAAAAGTTAGGGTCCGGATCCCTACAGGTTGTTTAGCCCCACAGATATTATCCACGAAACGACAGCTCTGCATTGCGAAAATTCTTGATTATTTCCTGAGCCCTTTCACAAACAAAACTCAAGTTTTCAGCAAGAAACTTCAAAAGTACATTTTTTTATAACCTTCCAGTAATTGGAGAAATCTCCAAGTTTCACGATCATGCAGATAGTAAACGAAAACAGTAACAACTCAGGAATTTCATGAGACTACCTGAAAGATAACGCAGAAAAAAAAAGAAAAAAGGTGAGCCCCATTCAGGTTTAGTTAGAAAATGTCAACGTCAAATCCGCGCCAATAGTTTCGGATACACTACTGACAACAACTTGGACAAGCCGAAAACCGCATTCTTTAATAGCTCTGGTGTCTCAGTTGGCCCTCACACCAAGGAACCAGCAAAAAAATAGCAGGAATATTTTATCTGTAAAAAGATTTTTTGCGTAGAAGCAAAGGAAATTCACTAGAACTGCTACTTTTGGGGAGACAAGAAAAACGTTATTCTGTTGCGCGCGGCATCGCTCGCCACGCCCAGCAACGAAGAAGATTGCGATTGTCTTGTCACATACCCCAACTTCTAGCCTAATCCGCCTCTTCTTATGGCATAAAGCCAGATTCAAGTAGCGCGAAGAAAGCGGCGATGCAAACGGGTTACGGCGTGCGCATCATTTGCACCAAGAATAATCGATCCAATTTGTTAGGGTCGCGGTGTGTCGAGAGGATAAGCTAGGAAATATCCTGCTAATTTCTGCGCGGTGTTGCGATGATATTAACGATATTCACTCATCAATTGTCAGCCCACCTCCTCCCCACCTTCCCCTCAGTTGAATGCCTAACTAGTTTTCTCACTAAACGGAGAATATTTACCTTCGAAACTGTAAATCATTTAGGCAATTACTCTTATCAGATTTTTAGAACCGTTCGTTTCCATTTCTTTCTAACGGCTGATTGCCGTTACATGGCCATAAAAGTGCCCTTGGAAGGCAGTAAATATGGCGAGAGAACGCTCACACGATGTTCCACACGTCGAAACGTTTAAATGTGAGAAACACTGTAGTAATTCGCTCATTTCAATTTCACCATTATAAAATTCGGATTTTTAATCCCCGCTGTTCACATTCTCATACGCTTTCTTGGAAATTCACTCAATAAATTAGTGAAGGCGAAACGGAATTGCACAGCCACCCAATAAATGGATGGCGTGAATTCCCGCGGGACAAAAGTGGCAGGGAAATCCCCGGAGATATCCGGCAAAATCTGGGACAATCAACCCAAGCAAATCCAATGTATCTCCGCTAACATAACAGGCGCCCGCGCTAACATTACATAAGCATGCACGGCTTGAAAAATTATTGTGCAAGCATTTGTTTTCAGTTCTAAGGAGGCTCTACCTCATTTCATTCCCAAGTTGAAAAAAAGAAATAAATCAGTAAATATATGAATACAAAAGAATAAAAAGTGGAGCGCAGTCATAAACAGATTGAATCGATGAGGTAAAGTCGAAAAGAACGCAAACCATCAATGATCTTTCAAACATTTCTACACATCATCATGGACGCGCTGCCAGAACATACAGGGATGGAAAACACCTTTGGTACCAGTACTTTCAAAAGATAACAACGTAGTAAACAAGTGAAGTTGACATCATATCAATACTACTGCTCTAGCAATCACATAGTTTGCTTCTTTTTTTCAATAGCAGTCGCCTGCTCTCACAGCTCTTTTTCATCAGTACCTAGCCTTTGGGCAGTACAACGGTATATTCGCAGTGCTGATTCATCTAGTCCTTATATACTATGTACACCATTTTCAGTCAACGGCGGATCATTTTTCAAATCAAATTCACGACTTTTTGTATGAAATTAAATATTTAGCTGAACATGTTACATTAGATACCTATAGAGACTCCGCCCCGATAGCCGCGCCCACTTCTACAAATTTTCGCTGAATTTTGACCTCTTTCGAAGTTTTCATATCTTTTGGACTGTTACGGGTCCCGCCCACCACGAGGAGCTGCGCTTACTTTGTAGAAGCCCTGCCTACTTGTCTGCAGAAACCTTCGACTGGCAGTAACGACTAGTTGGTCGGACGCCCGCTCGTCACTCGGAACAAACTTTGCCTCACAGTGGGCGGGACTACCCATAGAAGTCCGAAAATGTGAAAATTTGTGAAAACACATCCACCATCTTACCGATTTCTCAAAAATTTGCCGTCATGCGCGAAGCTGTGGTAAACTTTTAGGAATTGGTGAACAAGTGAATACCACCCTCTACCCAGGTGTAGAACAATAGTGAACGCTGCTTTCAAAACCCTCGTATAGTCCTTTTCGCTAAGAATGCTGGGGACTTTTAAGAGGGCCGGGCCTGGCGCGCCGGCAGCCCAGTATCCACCAGTTCTTGTAGACGGCAAGCGACAAAGATTGTTAGCGAATGGGCTGATGCCGCTTCAAGCCCAGCCCCTGCGACGCCCTAGCGTCAGCCGCGAATAGGACTGTGGAGACAAAAGGCTTTAGGCCCATGCCGTTTGAAAAATGAACAAGAAAATCTGAGCAGGGAAAGAGGCCGGTACGGAAAGAATACACTGATTCAAGCACTGGGGAGTGTTGCCTTACGTATGGGAGAAGAAGCTCCGACGTGGGTTAACAAAGCACACAAAAAAATGGCGCTACCGCTAGGTTGAGATAAAAATGTTCACATATTTGGCTCACATTTACTTGTTCGTATCTTTTAGAAATAAATGTCGTTCAATAGGCATTCACGTAACATATTTGCAATGACCCCCCCCCCCCCACAAAAAAAACGTCAAGGAAGTAGTAAACTCGTCACATTTGAAAACCTTGCATGAGTTTACACGACTTTGCCAAACAGTAATTAAAAAATGCCCAGTAAGTCATTCTGGTGCCGATTTTCGTGGGTATTTTCTTACTACCAGTCACAACCACACATACTTCAGTATAGGCATGTGAGAAGAAACTACAAGTGTTTTTCAAAAAACCTTAGGCCGTAAAAAATCGTTTTTGAAAAAAAAAACTCAGGGATCGACGAACTAAGTACCAGAGTAGCTCGCCTTCTCTTCAGCAATTATTTTTTGTTTATTCATTTATGCGTCAGTAGGCGTGCTAACAACAAAGTAATCAAAGACCAAATGAAAAAAAAACAGCGATAATGCTATGAAAGTATAATTCCCTTCATGTGATATAACAAGCGTAGCCCACACAGCCTTCACAAACTGCCTAGTCTCGAAAAAAAGTAGTCAGTGACCTTAATATAACCTTGAAAATTTTAGAAGTAAGACTAGAGACCCTCCAAAATTATTAAAGCAAGGACAAGGTCCCTTGTGGTAAGAAAGACCCTAGCTATGGGCAAAACATTCCACCACTAGAGAATTAGTTTTACTGAACTAATACTTTTTTTACAAAAATTCTTTTCGCTTATCACTCGTATTTCGCAACAGAGCCTTCAAGGCAGCCAATAGAGGGTTTCCTAAACTTTCGCCAAAGAGCAGCCGGTCAAACTGTTTGAATTTTAACTAAATCAGAACTACGTTCTTCATTGGATTCCATGGCATTACACTGATAAGTTGCTTTGCTACTTATGTAATGTCGCACCCCGAAAATGGAGGGGGTGGCCGCCCACTTCACTTGAATGTGGCATAGAAATGGTTTATCATGGAATGTTTCCATTCGAGAAGCTTCTCACTCCTTCTTGCGCTTGCGGAGAGATCATCGAAATTCTCTCAGATCATAAATATCCCACAGAAGTGCAGCCGCCGCTGCGCCCCAATGCTACGCCCACTCCTTCCCCGGGATATGGAGTGTCACACGCAGACACTCCGGATCCATGAATAAAAAAAAACAAGTAAACTAATAACTAAAATAGCGAAAGGATAACAAAGTCAACCAACCGAAGGCACCCGTATCATACACATCGAGAATCTGCAGGTCGTCTTGCATATCGCTAATTTGGTCGCTGAGATCTCGAACTTCTCTTTTTAAATAATCCGACTGCTTCTTTCCATTAGTTGCCTTCTAAAAACAATTTCAAATAAGCAGTAAAACAGGAAAATGTCAACGAAAAGCACAAACCTGCATCTGTACGTATCCTGCCTTGATTCTCATCTGTTTCTTGACCGCTGATCGTATAATCTTTTTCAGTTCGATAACCCAAAACAGAGGAAATTTTAAAGTTTCTCGAAAGATTAAAATAAAGTTGATGCCAAACCTCTTTCTGAATACTTCGTTCATCTTTAATTAGGAACTGGTACTTCTCCGCAAGTTGAGCAACTTCTTTTGGCACTGATTCGCCACTGAACATGTCTTAGGAAATGCTGTCTTGAGAGAATGCCGAGAAAAACATGGAACTAACCTGATTATCGGTGAGTCAGGAGATCCATTTGACGAACCAAGTGACACTGGCGGTACGACGTCCGCCATAGTTGACAATCCTTCAACATTACTAGATTTAGTAACACACCAGGTTAAGGTATGCATAGCATGAGTTTTGCCGATGAAATAAGAACGGTTGCCAGTGCTGTAGAATCTCCAGTGCTCTCAGTGTGCAGAAAAAGTTGGTTCCTAAACGTCGATGGCAGGAAAATGATCCAAAATCAGGCAGTTCACTTCATTAAGCTTTTTCGAGAAATTTCTAACGAAAAACTTTCGTGTAGGGGTGCGTTCACATTTTACAGCAAAGTTTTGAACGTCTGTCAGCGAGCTGAGCGTTTCAAGCGACTAGGAAAGCATAGGTATCGATCCAGGTCCCGGGCGGCCACCAGCATTTTGAGCGTCTGCCAGCGGCTTCAGCGCCCAGGATCGATCTGGCGTCTTGAACGCCCACTAGGGTTTTGAGCGTCTACCAGCGCTCTTGGCGGCGATCGATACCTACACTTTCTTCTTCGCTCAAAGCGGTGGAGACGCTGTAAACGCTGAACCGAAAACTATACTTCCCTAATCGATCAAACGCTCAAAACGCTGACGCAAACTATGAACGCACTCTAGGGGTGGGCGCTGCAGAACTATAGTGCTGCAATCGCCTATGCTCAAGACACCTTATTGCATGATTATCGCCACCAAACTTTGTTGGCTGAGAAATTTGAGAATAAGCATGAAGAAATAAGAATGTGGCAAAATAGCAATCTCAGCTGCTCGATCTTTGTCTACCATGAAAGAATGACATGGAAAGGGACAGTTTCCAGAACGCCCACGTCACTGACACGTCATGACACGCTACGCGATGACGTCATACGTTGTGTCCTAAGACGTAACCGTATAGTCGATTGCGACCTCAGTAGTACTATAGCGCCCAGCGATGCTATCTTGCAGCAACATCGTGAGGAGAAATCGAATCGGATATTCAATTTGATGTCTATAGAAGAAACATTGCGCCCGTGATTAATGCAATTTAGTCGGGATAAAAAAAACTAGTCCAGGAATCTATGCGTTAGTTAGTATCTTCCAAAGTTATCGATGAGGAAAAAACGCCAAAATCAGAATGAAAATTGCCTGAATGCAATACACAAATAACAAAACTTGGTCTAAAAGCTCTTGCACGATAAATGTAAGTCGACAAGAGTTCGTTATTATAAGAAAACGTTGTGAGAAAATAAATTGGAACTGAACTATCGATGTAAAGCGAACGATTAGGAGTAGACATGGTAGAACAACGGCGAAACGGTCACGGCAAGAATTTGTCAGACGAAAAAAAAAACATAACTGGAAAATTTGGCATGTTCGAATTCACGATTCACAGAACTGGAACTTACAACCCTCAAGCCAACTAAAACCTTACCCTGCAATCCTTGATCACAAAAAAACATTAATACGAACGAAAGTACAACTGAAAGTAAAGAAAATGAAACTCAGCAAAATCCAACTGTTTCATCCCTTATTGACTGAACTGGTTGAATACCGCAAAGAACAAAGCAAACCTTACACATTTCTTCGGTAGATCTACTCTACAATTCAAAAACATCAAAAAAATTGCCTATTCAAGGATAAGCAACTGCAGCCGCAGTACCCAAGTCCTGTTTCGCGAGCGTAGCCGAGAGCGCGACGCTTTTACAGGAAACATGGAGTTTTTGATTAGAGCGCGCTATCGTCACCCTATGCCACTACACTCAAAACATAAACTATTTTTTTAGCGCAGCGGATATAGAAAAAGTGACTTCTTCTCTATAATGTAAGTAGGAACTATTTAGGCTTATGAAAAAATTTATACATTTTTGGCAAAGTTTTTGACCTAAGGCTAGGTGGGAAATGAAACCTCTGGTTCATAGGAAACCATCATGAACTTCGAGTTTAAAAGATTTTCTTTGCTTAGGCTTATGAATAATGCACAAAACTGCCTATTGTGCTGTTCCTAGTATCTAAGTGTTGTAAATAATACAAACAGGCTCCCAAAGTATTTTTCCCACAGGGACCCAAAAGCCTAGTGAACTAAACAAGTTTGAGTTTTGTGCACTAAATACTTTGGGAGCTTATTTGCGTATTTACAACATTCTAATGTACAAACTGTTCACAAGGACCTTTCTATAACGTAATTACTATTTATAATCACGACGGGAGATCGATATTGAAAAATCGTTGAATGAGCACGATTACGTAAGCTTTCGTGCACCCGCTCTGCACGGACAAACGTGCTTGTGCGGAAATGCGAAAAGTATGACGAACATGACGAGTCTAAATACATATAGAGATAAGGTCCCACGGCAGGAAGACAATGAGTGACAACTTCAAAGGCAGTTGAGCTGCACCTAGATGCCTCTGAATATGTACTGCAGAATGTACTGCACGTACTTGCACGTCTTTGATTGAAGCATCGAGTTTTTTCTTGAAATTACTGATAAACAAATCCTCGTCTCTACCGACATATTTGAAATGGCATTCAATATTTCCTTATCAGTATAAGCGCTTGTTGACGGGCAAAGAGAGCAGAGATTACGAAATTATAGCTCTGGAAATAACCATATTAAACTAGTAAGTTTATAGTTGAGTAAGCTAAAAAGCCAGCAATCGGTTGGTTCATCAGTCAATCATTTCTTCCTCAGAGCTTTCAGGCCATTTTTGAATTTACATATATTTATCGATTAGGTCCATGTGGCTGTTTCGAGGGTCGAAGGAGTGAGGTCGCGTTCCATAGCTGAACTGCTCTCACCTACCGCGTTGTTGCCACCGTCTTTGACGACGTAGGGGGTCGCCTCATGAGGGATGTTAGTAAGGTGTAACTGGTTTCTGAAATGCAATGAAGTTAATGAGGGTACAAGTCACGACCGATCACATGATTTTAATCTCTAAAAGCCTTATAGAAAAACTTAAAGATATAAAATCCAGCAACAAAATTAGCAGTCGAGGTGGTGGATCATTTCAGAATGAAATCTTCTGTCTAGCAAAACAATTTGACGCGAAGGGCTTTTTCAAAATCCCTGTTGGCCCCTACACAGCAAGTCCTATCTTGACAGCTTGGCCCGCTCTTATTATATTTATTGATTTTGCAGTTCTGCAATTTGTCCTTATCGGATTTTTCTACGTTTCCACCCAATGCATCGATTGATAAATCGATCGAGAGACTGTTTGTATCGCTAAACCTGGCGCTGCTCCAGACGAATTCGCCCACTTTTTGTTACGAGATGGAATTGATTAGTTAATGGTGTTCTGGGCGTTGAAAGGGCCCACTGAATATGGGGCGAAAATGAAGTATCACACCAGTTTTCCTTGCAAAATGAAATGTTCGCTACGGTCCAGAGTGGCAATGGAAAGGTTCGCCCGGAAGTCAGTCGGTCTGTTTGCCTGTCTGTCTCGCTTTCTGGCTTCCTGCCTATATCTTCTGCCTGTACTCTCTCTCTCCTATCTGTAAGCCAATCCACTGCAATCAAGTATACTCCCAGTATCCATATCCCGAGGATGCGGTAGGCGTGGCTACGCACTTCTTAAACGTGGCGGTTTCTGCGCTCCTGGTCAAATCCACACCAGGACAAATGTGATCGTGCCTTTATCTAAGGCAAGACGACAGTTGCCTCGAATCGGAATATCCAACAGGTAATACATTCTACGCCGCGTTCAAACGGAACATGCACGCCCCACCATGACCGAGGGATGAACAGCTTATAACATGACTATGGTCTTGTTCGCGGCAGATGCTGGAGCGTGTCAAGCTGGGTTTGGCGTGCCACCAGCTCCTTTTCCGCCAACAGTTGTCGCCTGCCCGCTTCAAGCACTCGTGGAGAACGTGCGACACCGTGCGAAACCAACCCCTCCTGGCACGTTCTAGCGTCGCAGCGAAAACGGCTGCACGTAAGTGGTGAAGAGCTTCTTACTACACAGTCCTTATCATTGCGGACTGTCGGGGGCGGCGTGAGCAGCGCGGTTCGAGCCCGCGTCCGGCTCCTTGCTCTACCAATGGCGATCGGGTAGAGATCGATTTAGGAAGGAAACAACCAATGATGGAAACGCCGCAGGTGAGAACCGCTGATTGCGACCCGACAATTGCGGTGATATTAAGTGTACATTCTATAAGTTAGTATCCATACCTCGCTCATTCATTACGACTAACGGAGCCATTCCATACGGCTGCTTGACCTTGTGGGCACCAATCCCGTCTCAAGTGTACCCATAAGAACTTGTTTTGCTACTGCGAAATGACATCACCCCTCTAGCTCGTCTTCTAAGAAACAAGCCCAATCAGGGTTGTTTCCTAGAGTTCCCTTTCAATAGTAACACACTGAATGTTCATGAACAAAAAGGTCGAAATAAATAGTTTTCCTCATGATTTATTCCTATCGAGCTCTATCTGATCTTAAGAAGGTTTAGAAACTAATAGGTACGCTCAAAATAGAGTTCACCAGTCAAAGGAACTGCTCCGATTACAAAGCGGAGATGGTAGGGTTTAGACATGAGCCTGCATATGGTAAGTGATTGACCACTGAGGAAGTAAGCAGGAGCACTCGTCGATGACGACCCAAAGACTTGGCTTGTTTCCAGTTTCGGGTGAGCGCGCAGTGGATAGAGACGCAGAGACGCTCAGCGTAGCGGGTGAAAAATCAGGAACCAATGGCAGATAGCGCACAGGGAACGATGGTGGGCATTTATAGAAGGGTGGAGCCAGAGTGAGGAATGTGCAGTTAGTCCCTGGTATGTTCACCCTATAGAACAGCGAAGTGGGTATAGCACACTCGAAACCCCTAACTATGAGATGCGGTAGGTGTGGCTGCGTACTTTAACTAAACGTGGCAAAGCCGTGTTTTTGGTGAGATATTTCCATTTTGACATAAATGTGATCAATCTCTGTCCAGCACTGAACAAGATGGCGGTTGTCTCAAACTGAAATATCTCACGAGTAACCCATTCTATGCCATGTTCAAATGCCGCGTATACGCGTATCAGGGATAGGTACTGTATACGAGAAAGAATCCTTAAAACAACACATTCGCGAAATGGCCTCTCATTCGACAGCACATCTATTACTATGAAGTAAAGCTTATAGAAGGTATCTGTAT